TGTGTCAAAGGTTTGCTTCCTTTTCACCCTCCCCAGGTAAGAACGACATCTTTGGTGAGCCGATCAACCTGTACTCCCGTCCAGGTAAATCCAATGCGGATGTGAGAGCTCTAACTTACTGCGACCTCCATAAAATCTTCAGAGAGGATGTTCTGGAGGTGCTCGACATGTATCCGGAGTTCGCAGACCACTTCTGGAACAACCTGGAAATCACTTTCAACCTCAGAGACGTGAGTTTGCTACTTCATCTAAGAGCAGCTGTGAATAAATTCAGCTCATGTTCAGTTGGGTGATTGCATCTAAGTGTCTAAGTTAGATGTTTTTTGCTATCTTTACTGTTTATCTTTTAATAAAGAACATTTAATTCTGGTCCTTGTTTCAGACCAACATGATCCCAGGCTCTCCCAGCAGTGATGAGTCCAAATGTGGGGGATTCAACAAATTACGGCGACGCAAGTTATCATTCCGAAGACGTACAGAAAAAGGTTACCGTGGCTTTCATCTCTCACTTTGACCACTTGTTTTCAGCTGCATAAAAACTTCTAAATAAAATAATGCCTGAATAGTTAAAGAAAAACTACTGCAGTAAAGATTTCTTGATTCACATTGCTTCTCTGATGCTCATCTTTGAAAAGTCAGTTCTGATACAGGTAGATTGACTTTCAGTCTGTCCCTGCACACTTCTGTCCAGATGATGCAGATGCAGGAGAAATTAAGAAGTCCCATAAGACTGTAAGGCGAAGACAGCGGGAGGCAGCCAGCAACCAGAAACAGGAGGAGGCATCAAAGAGGCAGTGGGGGGCACATCGGAGCTCAATGTCTTCGCACTCCAGTGGGGACGAGGTGCGACTCCACAACACCATCATGACTCATTTATAACACACTTACTGTTTTGTGGTTATCGCACCCCATGAAAAGAACTGAGCTGAAGTCCTCCATGTACTCTTCTTCCAGGGGGAAGGGACAGTTGTGACCACTCTCGCACCCCCACCTGCAATGCTGGAGAATCTGCAGGCTCAAGCCACACCGCTGAGCTTCAGTGAGACCACCGACGGCGATGGAGACCCCAAGACTGGGAACACTTGCAATGCCCTGTCAGGGGCATTCTCAGGTGTGTCCAACATTTTTAGTTTCTGGGGGGAGAGCCGGGGGAGTGGTCAGTACCAGGAGGTTCCCAGCTGCAGCCTAGCCTCCCCCCCGCCCCTCAACACACCGCTGCACAGCCTGAGCCGACAGCAACGCAACCAGCTGGACACTCGCCTGGATCTGCTGCAGAAACAGCTCAACAGGTACAAGCGGCTGGGTGTCTGTTCTGATTTGTGTGAATGTGTGTGTCGATCTCGCTGCTCTTTTGTGTTTTGTTTTGTTTTGTTTTGTATCTAACAATTGTTGAAAAAAAGACAATATTGAAGTCCCTGCTGGAGGGTTGGAGTCATCTGACAGCCTGAGAGCATTTCTTCTGCCTGGCTGCCTCTGAAGGAAGCCGCTCCTCTCCACTGCAATGTAAAAAAATCCCATCCCTGTAGCTGAAGTAGCTGGATGAGGCCGCTTTGTCGGGTCTTGTTGGGATCACAGGCTGTGTGTCTTTGTGCTATGAGGAGGTCTGCGCCTCCAGCTGAATGCTCAGAGTTTTAATGCATGATTGACTGGATGCCTCTGCTGGATAGGATGTGTCAGCCAGCTGAAGGTGTTTGTGAACAAATCTGGATGGGGAGCAGCGGTGTGTAAGAAAAGAAGTCCTTCCCAAAGCACTGGAAAAATCTGCACATATGGTAAAGTCTCTGTTTGGCCTCCAAACGTTGAACAGAGACTAAGACATCAGCAGAATGAGTCCTAATTAGCTGGATGGGAGCTTCAACTAGGACTCAGCAGGCTCTATACAAACATATAGCTTCTGTATGTGTGCACAGCGTATTTATCTATTTCCACAGTGAGACAATAGACTAAGGGGTTAGTTTACTTTGAAGATCAAATTAAACTTTGTTGAGTCCTGTGGGGGGAAAAGGACTGTTCCACCTACAAAAAGGGACAAAACAGCAAAATGAGAAGAGAAATGCTAAGTAAGCAAAACAAAATGTATTAAAGTATAATAATTAGAATGGACAGTCTCTCTGAGAGGTGGAGGGACACAAAGTACATGTAGATGCTGCCAGCAGTGTTCGAATACGCAGTTTTATTGTCCTAGATTTTGACCCACTGGTTAGGATGAGATTTTACACACAAACTTTACTGCTTAAATGGATTTTATCGTTTAATTTTCACATTTCTGCTCCCAAATCTTGGCTGTTTACTGCCTCTGCTATCCAAAATGATGTTATTGAGCAAAACATGAATCCTGTTCATACGGTCTAACAGTTAATCATCTCCTACACACTGTGCTCAGGTTGGAGAGTCGCATGTCAACAGACATTGGAGTGATCATGCAGCTGCTGCAGCGGCAGATGGCCCTGGTTCCTCCGGCCTACAGCGCCATTTCATCACCACCTCAGGTAATAACACACTCACACACACACATGTATGCACAGATGGGTGACAAGTCAAAGGAAAAAAACAAATCTTTGACCCCAAGGGGCTCCAGGGCTCCAGGGCTCCAGGGCTCCAGTCCTGCATGTCCCTCTGGCAGGATTTCAGTTCATTTGTTCCCGGAGAGGGAAGAGTCACCGCAAATCAATAAAAGTTGTTCTGAGTGATCACCGTTATCCTCTGATGTTGGACCTTTCCATCTGTAGGGTACAATGGGTCACTAAATGTTTGATTAGAATGTAAATGATACGTATTATATGCTATGGCCTTCACCTATGGGAGATTTTGGATCCCAGTGTTCCTTCCACCCCCACCATCAAGAGAGGGAATGTCAGCTGGAAAAATCATGATTCCTCCAGTAGAGTTCAAGAGACTTAGGGAACCAAAGTTTCATTGAAAGTGTTTTGGCAACACATTGTGGCCCACCACTCCACTGCGATGCTTTCTGTGTCCTTTCCTTTAATTTGTCTCCAGCCTGTACATAAAGCACGATGCTCACTGTCTTCAGGTCCTTGTGATATCAACCATCTGTCTTTGAGACAAACTAAGTCACCCTGTCAGCAGGTGGCAGGATAGAAAGAGCTTCTCATCATCTTTAGGGACTGACACAGGCTGTAGACAGAAAGCTTCATGCAGATAACCAAGAAGCTGTTTCCTCTACAGGCCTCGCCGTACCCTGGTCCCGGTCCAGGACCAGGTCCAGGAGAGCGAGTGGCTCAACCTGTTACACCTCTGGAGACGGACACTCTGACCTCCCTGTCACAGGTGAAGCACAGTAAAGTCATTGCTTGGGGACTTTTACTGTGCTGCCCCGTTTTTGCTGAATAAAAGTTGCCCTTTTTTTTTTTTTTGCACTGTTTTTGTTTATCCTCTGGTCATCATTATTTATTTCATTCAACGGTATCACAGTACTTTTAGCGACGGGATTAGATTGCAGCATTTGATATGCAGTACATACCTCACGTTCTGATTACATCATGATCAACGTAAAATTTGACATTTTATATATTGTATCAAATTGAATACATTCTTGCTGTGTATATACAACAGTTCTTCAACTGAGTGAAAACCACTGACATATTAAAAGTCATCAATGTCAGCATCACAGCATTAACATGCATTCATAGTTTAAAGTTTCCATGACTGATTATTTTCATATAAAGCACAGATCACAGATGTTAGCTCTTATTGTGAATAATGATAAAAGAAAGAGTAGCAGCAGCAGGTCCAACTAACTAACCTCTAACCATCATTCCCTGCAGATCTTGGATTCCCAGGACTTTGAGGAGTTCCCAGCCAAGCCCCTTGACTCCCTGCAGCCCCAGGACTCCCCTCTGATCAACACCAGCCACAGCCAGCCCGCCCCCTCCGGGCTGGACAGCCTGGGCCAGCATCTGGAGCTGGAGCTGGGACTGGGCAGCGGGGTTGGGGTCATTTCAGGGGCAGGAGCAGGGGCAGGTTCAGGTTTAGGTTTAGACTTAGGGAGCGGGGCAGTGGGCTCAAACATAGGAGCAGGGTTAGACTTTGGTTCAGGGATATGTATGGAGGCTGAGGTGGTGCCAGCTGCTGCAACAGGAGTGTCACCTTTGGATCCTGAGACCCCAAGGAGGCTGTCCCTCCAAGAACCACAGACACCTCTGGACTCACGGACACCACAGAGACACAGCTCCGACCCTGGGGGGAGCTAAGGAAGAGGTGGGGAGGAGGGGGAGGAGAGTGGGAGTAAGGGAGGGATACAGATAGAAAGAGAGTGATGTTTTATCCTGCAGGTCCTCCTGTTTCCATCACAACACACGCACTCTGGAGATCAGGAGGCATCTACTGTACCTACCACCTAAACCTACCCGGCTACCGTATCCTCACCTTCAACCTCTCAAGTACAGACTCACTGCTCAGAGAGAGTGAAGCAAGGCAGTGGGTCAAGGAAAGAGTAGAGGCCTTTCTCTGGCTCTTTCCTGAGTCCCCTCCCTCTCCTCATGAAACATCTGGAGCTTTCTGGGCTCCACTATGGTACAACCTTTAACCAAAACCACAAACGGAGCAGAGAGGAGCTCTGCCTTTCAGTGAACACAGTCTGAGTGTACCCAGATCAGTCTGGTTTGGACCTCTCAGTCATCCGCTGAGGACGACACTCCTTCACACTCACATATAAATGACTGCTAACTTGATGAAGAATCCCTTTACTGCTGTATCCAGTGTTGGATGACTGACCAGAACAAGCAGAGACAACATTGGACAGAATAACGACGAAACAAGTAGCCATTTACGTCTTGCACTGAAAATCCTATTGATATAATAATTATTCTATTCTTTATGTCCGTGGCGCTTCCGATAAACTCACAAACTGGTTGGTAAATTGTAGTGTTAGCTGGCCTAACAGGAGTCCTGCTGTCCCGTTCTGTCATTGGTTCCTTCCCCCTGACGTCCTGCCCCAAGAGGCGGAGCCATTGCTCCACCCTTCCCAAGAGCACACTGGATTGGCTGGTCTGCACCTCAGGGGTGGGAACTGGAGGGTTAAAAGCCATGAATTTTCTCGATGAACATATCAGCTGCCCTATCATAAACATTGTACAGATTTGCTAGTGAGTGAAGAACACATGGCATGCTTAGGCAGCGTCACAAACAGGTAAACTGGCAAACTTACAAGTTTCCCACAAGAACAGCGCACCAAATAAACCACCAAGTCAATATCTGAAAAAGGCAGGAAATCCCAGCTCACAAATTTTTCGAGTTATGAGTTTTGACCTTAAAGACAAACAGTTTGTTCATCAACCTCTGTAAAGTGATGAAGCAGGCAGTGACGCGACGCTGCTCTGGTTCCTAACATCGAAGCCCATGCATAAAGGGAAAAAAAAAACAACAAAAAAAATGTGTGATTCTAGTTTATCAGTTGAATTTGCTACCTCAGATTTCATTGGTCCTTTCTTTTTTTCACCTGAGCACGCACCCAGAATGCTTTTACCTTGTACATAAGAGTCTGTCATGTGATTCGTAAATATACAAGTTTGCCAGTTTACAATGACCAGCCGAATGCGCCATTATTCTATGTATAGTACAATATGCAAACACTGGCAAGAAGAGATGAGTGTGTGCGCTTTAATCTTATTATATGTGTGATAAGTTCAGGTCCAAAGCTTTTTATGTGTGTGTGTTTGTCCTTGTTGTTGTCTTACAGTCTGCAGAGCTTGTCCTATACTGCGCTTGCTTCCACACACTGTAGAGAGGGTCACTGGATTTTGATGTTTATTTAGTTTGCCCCGCACTAAAAGATGTGAATGCCTTGTTTGAACAGGCAATGAACAGGTTCGGTGTTTGAATCTAGACAGCACAAACCCTTTACAATGCAGGTAAAAAAAAAAAACTTATGACGCCATCCAAGTCTATCTGAGAGTTATACAGCAGTCGTGAACACAAGAGGAGTAAACTGTACTTTAGTACCTCTGTTCTAGTGAATATTTTATATTAGGTGTTCACTTGAGCCCATTTTGAGGTCTTCAGATACACATCTAATGCTTGTCATGAACTGCTTGCAGGCCAACATAGTAACACAGATTCTCTGAGGTATGAAGAGGCTCAGACAGACCATGACTTCAGCGCACCATCATTCTACTGACAGAGTAAGATAAGACGTGCAGCATGTACAGAGACAGACTGGTCGGGAGCATCGCCTGATTCAGACACTATCAGCCTGTTATCAGTGCACATCATCCCCAGACGTGGGTCAGTAGGCATCTCCTCCACCTTCTGGTGAGCATTGTCAGCCATTCTCATCACTGATAAACAGAAAGTTATCCTAGCAATGCCAGCAAGTGAGATTTTTGCATGCACAGGACAAAATGGAGCTCTGGAACATCAGGTGGTCATAGCAACAAGGTGTATTTTAACCCAGACAATGATCTTTTTCTACACAAACCAAGTAGAGTTGGTCCCTGAACTAAAACAAACACAGAGTGAAAAACAGTGAAAGTAAGAGTCAAAAAGAAGTATGGTCCAAGATGGAACTTGTACTCAGGTCTCCTGGATGAAAGGCCACTGACTTCCATTACATGGGCTGACGATGGCCAGTGAGAGGTGGAGTAGCTGCTCATATGTGTGGACATGATGTGCACTGGGTGGAAGCATGCATCCACTGAGTTTAATCAAAGTGAGGCCAGTTAAAGTCCTTCGTCTGACACTGTTCAGGATCATGAAAAGCTGCCACTGCTCAGGTCTCATGTGGCTTACCGCGGAGCTGTTAAAAAAAATCAGCAGTTTATCAGAAGTGAGAGAACGTATAGAGCTGATTGTAAAACTGTGAAAATCTTTTGCCTCCGTCTTTCATCTTCCTTCAGTGGAAAGTTTTCCAACCCGCGCATCACATCAGCCACCATTTAAAATATCTCATCAAGAAAATGGCCATTTAACATTTATAAGTGCTCCTTCGGTTTCAGCCAAACTCTGAGGGGTCAACAGCTGAGGCCACAGCCATGTAAAAGTGTACAGACTGCATTTTGAATTAAATATCAACAAGCGAGTGGCTGCGTACGAAGCCTGAACACTAACCACTAACTGTATGACTAACAGGAGTTTGTGAGAAGAGGTTTTCATCGCCAATGCCTCATAAACTAGCAGTAAAGCGTTTACAAGTTTAACATGCTAGAAGGTACACAGTACATATCTGCAGTAAACCTTTTTTTTAACTACCAAGGAATCTGTAAAAACACTGAAACAGCTGAAAATCACTGCTGGTCCAATCAGAAATGTCCATCCCGTGCATTCAGAGGTCCATACTTTACATTTTTCTAGTTGTCATCTCTAAATGGAATAAATAATCATAATTTTACCTTTACCTACAGGATTTATGATGAACTGAAGCATACATGTCAAAACGTGGGGATACAATTGAATACGGTGTAGTGGGCAGACTGGAGTTTACCCACATGCCTGGAAATCATACGAAGAGCAGGTGCAATAAAAGCCCTTTACAGTGGAGCTGAGCTGAAATAGCTCTGAGCTGGTTGTTCTGCATGAAGTCAATTCCTGCTAGATCTTTCAGTTTTTTTTTGAGTTCTTCAGATGAAGGAAAGCAAACCCTTGTGACATCTTCAAATTGTCTTCCCTGATACAAAATTACACGGACAGACCCTTTTCCTGGACCCCACATCCACGAGTCATCACAAAGGGGGGTAAAAAGAAACCTGTTGTTGAAGTGCAATAGTCCTTTAAACAGTTACCACTTGTAGCAGCTGAACCACGTCCATTAATTTATTAGCACTTTATTTTTTTAAACAGTGCAGATGTTTAATAAAGACTCAGGAATGTGTCCGTGATGTCTCGGGGTTGATTTTCCTTCGTCACACGACTCAAAACCGACCAATCAGAGAGAAATTAGAGGAGCTTCTCATTTCCAGGGTTTAATTTTAGTTGAATTCTCCTTTAATGCAGAATCGTGAAGATTGTATTTTGCTCCTTGTGGGTCTAAGCTATTTAATTTATTTATTGTTGTTGGATTATTTTTGTTTGTCTGTGGATTGTAGCTAAAATAACGTTTATCACTTTGTGTTGGGTTAACGAAGAGGAGCGAGGAAAGGCTCCACATGTTCCTCTGTTTATTTAAGGGAATTTACACTCACGCAGGCATTCTCAATATTTATTCAATATTTATTAATCGAAGTGCTTGATGAGCAGTGCACATTATTATTGCTATTACTACTATCATTATAATACACTGTAAATTCTGAATTTTCTCCCTAATGCAGTCAAAGCCACATTCAGGACACAGCGTGCATGAGGCCTGTTGTTCCAGTCGTCGTCCGTTCCTGTGCAGTGATTGGCTGTATGTGTGTCACGCTTTGTAAAGGTGCACTTTAGTGTCGAACCAAAGCAGGCAAAATGCTGTAACAAATCATCACCGGTGGCTTTTTAAACTCACGTGTAATTCAGCTCTTTAAGTCGAAGAGTATGTTTGACTGCAGTGAAGTCGTAACTGTAGCTGGACTATATGTGATTTTAAGAGTTGACTGAGGATATTTTTTACAGTGAATTCAAAAGAATATTAGGTGGGGAGTGTGATCAGATCGGTAAACTCGAACCAAGAGAATTAGGGGAGGGTGTAAAAAGCTACTCTGGCTGCTTTCAGATGAGCGACGGTTCACTTGCAAAGTTGCTAGAATCTCTTTTTTTCCAGCGTTCTGGCGTTTTGACCAAATCTACTGAATTCTTCGTACTACTGAACTACTCTACTACTCTGCTTGTTGTCATTTCCTTTGCTGACGCGCCCATCACCATCAGCTAGCTTTTACCGGCACCAGGAACAAGGTCCACAACAGACGTCTCTAACATCCAGTAAATATTCAGTGAATCTGGCATCACATGAATTTATCATTTTTGTCGTTGCTTTTGTTTGTTTCACAGTGCAGTGCAGAGGTACTGATTTCCAGACGTGGGCTCTGCTCTCCATCTCACATACTGTAGCGAGTGTTTTGTTAGTCTTCAATAACCAGTCACCTAGTGGCCTGAACTGCATTTTACATTCAGAACTATGACCTCAAAACTAGAATGTGGTTGTTGTCGACTCTTCTTGTTTGACCTTGTACATGATGGTAGACCTTAGCGGATTATTCAGTGCTAGAGGATATATTTATGTAATGCATACTGCATATTATAACAGTAGAGGGTGCGCTTTGGAGGAAATACAAACACTAAGGGATGGGTGTGTTAGTGGGTGGGGGGGAGGGGGGCGTTTAAAGAGAGCATTTTTTCCCCCTCTTTGCATTTTGACACACACACATATGTACAAACATAAGAACTCAGCCTGCAGTCACACACACCTACACACACCTCCCTCAACAGCTCTTCCATACTGCTGAGCTTTTTTCAGCTCTCTTCAACTTTCTATAAGTTCTGACAGACTTGGGTCCTGTATTTGTAGATATTTTGAGCACTTGGGGAGGGGGGGTTTGGTACCGTTTACACAACACTGGATCTGCTCTGTCACTCCTTGCCTGTACATAACAACTTCTACTACTTGTAAAGGAATCAAACTCTTTGGCACTCGTATAGCCAGCACTATGCAGAAACTGAAAAATTTCTTTGGCATGCTTTGAAATGCAGAATACTATAGACAAAAATATACTAAATAAATAAAAGTCTGCTCTAATTTCTTATTAAAATAATCACCTTACTGAAAAAAAGAAAAAAAAGCTGTCCATGGTATAAATGGATATGATGATGATGATGATGATGGTTATGATGAGGGTGATGAAGTTAAAGACTTTTAATATTGTGCACATTTTTACTTGCATGCTGCACTGAAAATCATCCAGCAATGAGAAGGTTTGATGTGCAAAGCAGCTGATTTTTGCTGTATGCTTGCAGACTGTGTGTAGAGTGAAACACTGAATTCTTCCGGGTTACGGGAGTGTCATATTTATATATACATATATATACATACTACTTCCAGGTCATGGAAGAGAGGGGTACTGAATAGCTGCAAACATAGTGATCCTAGATGATACAATATTATATTGTATATTTGTATCTTTGGTTGCAAACCACTGTAACGGAGTGATGCATGTGTGGCAGTCCTGGGCCGAACTGTTAAATGTTTCCCAAATATCCTGGAGCGCTTGATTTTCCTGATCTTGCTCCACTTTGACCTGAGAAGTTAAATCAAGTGCACCTATAAATTGTAGAAATCCTGCTTAGCCCATCTGGGACAGGCTACACTCTGACTATCATCAACACATGTGAGTGTAGTTTTGGATCACATCTTACTTTCTTTCCGGTGTGTTGGGTGTTAAAATCTGTTAGCAATAGCATATTTTTTACACATTCTGTTGGAAAGTACTGAGTCATGAGTTGTCCCAGAAAAACTTCTCACAGATGTTGTGAAAATCTTTTTAATTGTGTATATTCTACGGCAGCCCCTGGGATATTGTTTAACCACGAAGTTATAACACAGGGCTGACCAATGGAGTGCTTCTAGAAGCTCACAAAACATCACTCATATCAAAGATTGAGGAAGGTTGGAGGGGAAACAGTGACGCTCCAGGTTCTGATTGTGTGATAGCATTAGCAATGGTTGAACTTTATAAAATTTCAAAATGTTTCTTTCAATAAACCTCTTTGAAAGCAAAATCATCATCTTTGTGTTCAATTCATGTGCCTGTAACTTTACCAACTGTTACAAAGTTCCCTGAAGACATTAGCCCTTAAAAAAAAAAAAGTGAATTCCTGAAACATTGTTTTTTTTTTCAGTGAGGACAAGCCCCAGTATCACTGACGAGTAAACACAAACACCTTCACATTCCCTCTCTGGTTGCTGATCAACCCCCGAAAACCTATTTCTGTACATCAAAGTTACATATTTAGATTCCCCCCATACAAGATAACAGTTTTCTGTATTAAAATATAACTCTACACCAAAGTTCCTTAGAATGTTTAGATCTATAACATCCTCACCTCTAATCTCCTGTCACTCCTCCCTGAGCACACCAGCTCACCCATAACTCTGCTCAAACATTGTTAAGCTACTCTACACCCCACAATAATAACAATACTGGAGTATTTCAGGCATGCATGGTGTAACCAGGAACAGATTCTGAAGAAGAAGAATGATACAGAAAGTTTTGCTCTGCTAGTTGACAGGATTTGTTCATTTGATTAATTTGAAACCCTGAAAGTTAAAACTGTCATCAGCACACTTTAGTTTTAAGATGAAAATGCTCAGCCATGGTGTTGGCTTACAAGAACATATTCTATCTATATTTACTGGACTGTAGTTTTTTTGGTTGTTTTTTAAATCTTCTGAACAGATGCCCTGCTTTTCATGAAGTAAACTTTCAACTATTTCTTATGAACGCATCAATAACAATTTGAAGTGAAACAGAGCAGCAGGCATGAACGCATCACCTTCTGTTATCCTGCTGGTGTGTTTCATTCTTGATGGAAATTCAGAATGGTTGTCTAAATCTTATCTGTAACTTACTGCAACAGCAGATCCACACAGATTCTCTCCATAAATGTCATACGGAATACGTAAGCCTGTGATGCACAGCTACAGTGCTTATTTTAAAGTAGTGTCGCTTAATCATATGGAAGCCTGTTTCCGCCAATGAAAAAACATTCAATATTTAAAAGTCATAATTATCCATCCATCCATTATCTATACACCGCTTAATCTACACTACAAGGATACATGTGGATACAACCGACTGTGATGTATAGGTTACACAAAAGTCCCCCAAGTGGACTTTCATAGACTAGTAAAGTAGCATAATAACAACAGCTACGTGTCTACATACACAGCTGTCCATGTGTCTGCACAGGGGTACAAAGAAGATGGAAGACCCTGCAGCCAAGCCAACAGCCCTGAAAAGCTGCACTTACACACACAGTTAAGCTAAATGCTAAAATCAGCATGCTAAGATGGAAATATTGTAGAAAATATATGCTGTTTTCCTGCTATAGCCTCTCACCGTCCGCCATGTGGATAGTTTACCATATTAGTTTAGCATGCTAATATGCGCTAATTAGCACTAAACACAGAGCACAGCTGAGGCTGATGGGGACTAATCACACAGGAATTTGGTCATAAACCAAACACAAATTCAAACTTACACCTGATGATGGAGCCAAATAAGAAGTCAGCATTGCCACAACACATCATCTGGGGACAATGGACCTCTATTACATTTCTCTGAAGTACATTAGTAAGATTCATCCTCCTGGGACCATCCATCCATTATCTATACACCGCTTAATCCTCACTGGGGTCGTGGGGGGCTGGAGTCTATTCCAGCTGACTCAGGGTGAAGGCAGGAGACACCCTGGACAGGTCACCAGTCTATCACAGGACTACACTTAGAGACAGACAACCATCACACTCACATTCACACCTACAGACAATTTAGAATTAAAAGATTTTTTCACTGACGGGAACAGGCTTCCATATAATCATGGGGGAAACATTGTTAAAACAAACAAACAAAAAAACACAAAAATTAGTGTGTCCAAAAAATTCCCAGGAATCAAACTGGGACTGTGACTGAGGTTCTCCTCTGGAGTGTTCAGCCCATTCAGTGGTCTCTGCATGGGAGCAGGGCTTCGGAAAACACCAAGAATGTCCATCCCCAGCAGGGAGAGACACTGCAGCCTGATGTTGGTCATGTTCACCACAGGGCGTCACTGTAAACCCACAAACCATTTCAATGTTCTTTTGATGTTTTGCATCCTGTGTTGAAAATGTTTCTAAACTTTTACCACCAGTGAAGGAAAAGTCAGCAGCTGCAGTGTGAGACTGAGCCAGAGGAGTTAGTTTAATGCATTATTGGTGGTGAACATGCGATCTGCAGCTCCATGTCTGTGAAGTAAATCAGCTACAGTTAGGTTAATTCATTATCAAGGTAAAGTCTGTAAACCTCATTGGGTTTGTGTTACTGCAGTCACCATCCACTGCTTATTCCAACAACAACACAGACAAAGAAATCCAGCTGCTTCTATTTTTGTAGCTGCCCATGTGTCAAACACACGAGCGGACTCGTATGATTTCTACTTTCCGAGTGAGTGTGTGTGTTTTCTGTAATAACTGTAATTCCTGTCAGCCCGGTGACATTCCAGTGATCAGGGCGGCATAAGGGCGTCTTCCTGGGCCGTGGCCGTATCCAGAACCTTTCCCCTCCGGCGATTGGATCGGCACCGTCCCGTAAAAGGAGTCAAACTTCTCCATTGTATGGACAGGGTGTCTGTCAAAAGTGCATATGGTGACGAAGAAGAGCCTGCCCAGGATTGAATAGTTGTTATTGGACTATGAGGATGTTAGTCAAAGATTAGCATCGCTGTGATTGGATAGCTAGAGAGCCAGTCAGAGTTAGCGGTCTGTGATTGGAGCAGAGCTTCTCCGGGGGCGGGGTATGTTAGTCTGCGTCCTGCGGAGTGCACTCTGGGGTGGGCGGATCGTAGCGGTGACAGCGACGCTCGGAGACTCCCGACAAACTGTCAAAAAGCAGACAACTAACGGTGAGTCACGTTCAAATATGAACGCTTTGTTTCAGTCGGTGTGTGTGGAGACGGCAGCTGTGTGCAGTGAGCGTGGAAGTGGAGGGCGGACAGCTGCGGTGTGTGGAGCAGTGAAATGACGGTGATTTTGGATGAGTGATCTCACAGCACGCATCTCAGCGACGGTGCTCGGGTGGAGGTTAATGCTGCCTTCAGGTGCCCCTCGGAAACTCTTACTCTCTGAAAGAGGCAGGTTGAGTGCGCGGTGCATTGGTATTAACTAGTAAGCGCATGCTGTTGTTGTTTTAACTCAGTTGAACGCGTGGTTTCTACCACTGACCAGCAGCTGGTACTTTTCCTTTCACGTTTATTACTCAGGGGGCGAGGTCACGTGCAGCTGAATATGGCGGTTTCGATATTTCGGACAGCCGTAGAGGCAGCACGGTGAGGTTGCACCGTCCCAACAGAGCCACAGCAAAGTTATGCAAGCTAGCTCCTCTGTCTGTGTGCATCTGTCCATTCATTGGCAGTGTGTGAGGAAGATAAACAGTAAAACTACCTACCTTCTGCTGTGGTCAGATACAAAGACTAGTATGATTGAGCTTCAATAACCTCCTGCATGGACAGGCTTCTTCCATGTTCCTTATAACTCCAATCCTAACACCACCTGATGGGTTGGTAGGTGGTTATTCTTAGTCATGCACTGTCATTGATGATGCACCCAATCTGAAGAGAGGCACACGTGTCATCTGCTGTCACTGTTGTTTTAGCTCGCATCATTAGCCTCCCTCTGTGTAAGTGCGTGTTGTGTTGCTAATATGGCTACAATTACTCATCCTGAGCCCAATAAGAGTCAACACCATGTCTGAGCATTTCCACCTTGAAGTAGCAGAGTACTGATGAGAGTCTCATCAACACAGATTCCAGGGTTTCATATGTAACAAACCTAAAGAACCATTCCTGTCAGTTTGCAGGGTGGGGCTTCCTGGATCATTATTCATCTTCAGAATCGGTTTCCAACTCCAACACGTTGAGCTGATTTACTCCAGTGTTGCAACTTCCGGCCATACAGGAGTGTAGAGTACTTTTATGGTGTTTGAGCAGAGTCATAGGTGAGCTGGTGTGCTCAAGCTGCAGCGAGTGGCAATACTAGGTGTAGAAAAGAGGATGGGGCTTTATAGATCTGCACATTTGAAAGGACGCAACAGGAAAGAGTTATATCTGAGACATTTTGAGGCAGGAAGGAATTGGTTTTGTGAAGAAGAAAAAAACTTCTAAACATACCCAAAGATGTGTCTTTAGGGGTTAAATGAATGACCAGAGAGAGAGAGATTTATTATAAGAATGAGAATCATCACAGTATGAATGCATTAAGTTCCTAAATATTAATCATATCAGATTATCACACTGCCCTGATTGCTGTCCCAGAACTACTAGAACTATGCTTCAGTGGGTTTTCTGTGTTGAATAGAGTGCATTGATTTGTACATTTAGATCCTACACTTTTTTGAAGCTCAGTGCATTTTAAAACTCTGACATACTCTGCAAACTCAGACACCTGGATTGTCTCCATCTACAACTAACTGCTGCCACCTGCACTGCAATATTACCGCACAGATTTGCCACAGAAATTGATATAAAGAGGATTCACAGCCGAAAGGATTGTCCCTCTCCCTCCCCCTCCTCTCTCTCTCACTCTCCCTCCCTCCCTCCCTCCCGTCCTCACTCCTTCTATCCAGATTACTCTCCAATCCTCCACCAGCCAGATTACCGAGTGGGAAATAAGAGGTGGGACTGATCTAAGGCCCTGAATTCATTATGGACCTGATCCAGTCACATCCCTAAAATGGCCCGTTGCTTGTTGCTTTGCTGTAAGCCCACCAAAGTGATCAGGTATTAGGCCCGAGGGGTTGACGGTTATCAAACAGGTCAGAGGGTTTGTTTTTTCCGTTGGTTAATCGCTGTCATGCCAACTTAGACCAGAGTTGCTAAAACGAACTGCAAAGCAGAACATCTCTGTGTGATATCAAAGATGAAAGTTGGGAGGCACATGCCTCAGTCGAACCACACCTGAAGTTGTGTTTGCCTCAGCTGAGTCCCTCCCAGCTCCCCTGCTGTCTGTGCAGAGAAAACACAGACACCAGGAGGAGCAGATAAAGAAAGTTGTGGAGGTCTTGAGAAATATTGTTTAGTCAAAGTGGAAAGGCCTTTCTATAAGAGGCTTTTGTATCAGCTCCTATAAATTGACTGTAATGGCCCAGTGTTTAAATCAAGTACAAGACCACATCATACATTTTCTCAGCAGGGAGTGTCATTTTCCAGCAGCCGGGAGTCTGATGCTGCTTGTCTCCTGTTCTGTGTAGTTCTGTATGGGAGAAGCAGTTGTACTACTTTGGGTGCAAAATCAGAAATTCCTGTTAAGAAGAGAAACTACCTTAAAAAGCATTCACTGCCTCTGTTTTATAGAAATACCACAGCAGAGGCTGTGTCACGACGAAAAGATATTTCCAGAGAAACATCTGTTTTTTTTGCTTATTATTTTTTAAATGGACAAATTCAGTGTTTTAGATTTGAACAAAGTACCACTGTCACTGTCTGACTGTTAACGAGGGCCTTTAGAGGAGGCCCACTTTAATCCTCAGGAAGTTCTTGCCAATATTAAATACCGCTCTCAGTAGTTTTATAGTTGTGGATAGTTTGGGATTCTGGGAAAGAATCTTGCATGTTGTGCACTGAAAAGGTGAAAATAAACTGAACAGTGGGCTGCTGCTGCTGAATCTTGTTGGTAAAACAACATACAAAACTAAACTAAAACTCAACCAGTTTTGACTGCTAGTGTCCACCTGACATGTTTTTGTCGGGCAATTTGTAAAGCTGGACATCTATTTTGACTGAAACGACCGGCTGTGTAACACATAGTGCCCTGCCAGGACCAGTTGAATTTATGATCCATGAAGCATGTTTGCCATAATCTAATGACATGCTTGAAAAGTGAGCTTTGTTTAGGGAGTGTAATTGTGGAGTTGGTGGGATGCTTAGTCATTTTATTGCTCGTAGAAACCAAAAGCGAAAGACAATACTGCAGATAACCTTAATGCAACCTTAGCTAGATTGCATTAGCTTCAGTAGGTCATTTGTATCAAAAACTGAATGGATACTGACCCTTGTGTGGAGACTCTACATCTGAGTGGAGGGCCCAACGTGTTAATCTTTGAGCCACAGATGTTAGTGCACTTATGTGTGTATGTGGTTTCAAGCACCAGGATGATCTGTATCATATCGGAACCAGAACGACCAGCCTGTAGGCTCGTTGGAGCTGGGTATCTTTTTACACATTTTCGATATCTATACCAGAGTAATACCTGGGATTTGGTTTGGGAATGCAAACACAAATTCTTACAAAACAAATTAAGACAAAGAGAGCAGCCACTTAAAAACTTTATCCAATAGTTAAATTATGTAAAAGAAAACAAAGGTAAATTTAAATGTGATGATACAACAGTTGAGACCAATAATTTATCATCTTCTTTCTGTACAGCCTAGAAAGGGAACTGAGTTTTGATACAAGGGGCACATTGGAAACCAAAATCCACTGTTCTGATCTGATGTCACAGCATTTGATTACCAGTTAGGATCATTTTTCAGATCAGCACAACAAAGAAGAAAAAAAAAAGCAGGATGGTGGTGGGGGGTTAGAGTTGAGGGAGGGGGACAGACTCATCCATGACTGTCAGTATAAACTGCTTTTAACACTCCCTGTTCATTTGAATGCACCACTCCTTTGTATCTTGTTCCTGAAGCTGCACCAAGATTGAGGGAATTATTCCTTGCTGAGGCAGAGCTATGTTTTCTATGTTGTCTGTGTGTTTGTCTGTAAACAGGATTACACAGAACTACCAGGTGTGGAAGCGAATCACTTTCTTTCAAATTACGGTAAAAGACTTTGTGGCAACGAAACTTGCAATTAACACATTCACATGCATTCTGAATATGGGTGGGGATCTGTATGGCTAACACATCAACTCCTGCCTATTAGACCAATAAACCAGCCATATGTTCAGTTAAGGTGCTCATTGTTGCATGCACGCCCACAAACCTTCTTCAGGCTCAGCAACAGAAAACAAACTGAAGGCAAAGACCAGAAAAAAATGTTTTTCTCCGTATGTTAGCTTTTCCTTAGAGGCATCCTTTTGTCCCCTTATTTGGGAGTATTAGATGGTGTTATCCTGCTCTGCTCTCATTGGTCCAATCTGACTGTAGACTGATTGTCAGTCCTGCAGATAACAACCACGTGAGTGATCACTATGTCAATATACCGCTTCTCCTACTCTGTGATGTTTTGCCGATGACATCGTCTTTCGTTGGGAACTTTGATTTGTTAGAATAACTTGGCTGTGACTCAGCAGCTCATTGTCTGCAAGAAAAGCTAATTTACATCAAAGAAATGATAAAACCCCACTAATAGCATTACTGCTGTTAATACTGGCAGATGTAGATCATCACTGGCTGCCAGTTTAGTTTAATATCATAATAAAGTTGCAGATTCATAGTAAGTTCCATGGGATAGTATAATTGAATCTTGAATGAACGTCTGGTGACCACAGCTGGAGGGAACAGTCTTTCTCTGTTATATAGAGGTTCCCATGTATTGTGATGGACTACTGAAGCCCTTTGACTTAGATGCTTCATTACTGGATTGATCACAGCCTCGCCCCCTCTGCTTTCCCGTACCGAAGGATGATCACACAGAGCAGAGGTTTATATCCGGTCTTTATGCTCTCTAGCTTTGGGTGGAAATATTAATGCTCTGTTTTTATCTTTTTTGGATGGTGTTCTTTTTAAATAATGAGACCATTGCCCTAAGCAGGCATAGTATTTTCCCTTCCAGGAAGCAGGGAAATGAAAAATGATTGGAAAAAAAGAGTACATTTGTTCAGATAATACATCTAGGGTTTTTTTTTGTTTTTTGTTTTGCAGGGCTGTGGGTGGTTAGACAGGTATGTCTCTCCACATTTCTGTGTTTTTGTGCAGTTGACTGATGCCAAGCGTTGTTGATTGTATGAAGTGACTAAACACGTCAGCTATAGCGAGCCATTTTTTAACAGCTAGCCTGCATATGTATTGCTGATATGTGTAATTCAGTTCTTCCCTTGGTAAAAAGAACATTTCAGATATCCACTTTTGCCATTTCAGATGTCCATATCATCATTTCTCCTATGACAAATGACCATTCATGTGCAGCTGAACTGCAGATATCTGTAACGTATATCTGTTCTGTGAATCGCAGCTAAATTATGAATGAATCCTGTTTCAGATATGTGCAGTTCAGTTCTTCCTGTCATGATTCTAGTTCGAGATATCTTTAATTCCACTCAATTTCAGACATCCACATTGTCCATTTTAGAGGTCCTAAATTTAGTTTAAGCTATTCAGAACGACGGTGTAAATATCTTGATCTGGAATTCTAGCTATTCAAAGTGATTAGATATGAGTGAATCGATATTTCAGACTGGAATTCTGCCCACATCAGAATCAGTCACAAGTCTGGGTTGTTCTCCAGAAACTCCTTGCTGATGAGTTCTTCCTATTTTGCTGCAATTTCTAGCAATCTTATCCACCACAGCGCTGTTAAACTGCTTCGCTGGACCAGTATCCAATGAGAAGCCTCGTATACACAACACCATGTACAACACTTCAGACAATTCAGTCCGAATGATGTTTGAGATATCTGCAACTACTCTAAACTGAATTACCGGTACTGCTGTTGTTTTGACTGGTCAGATGACGTTATAGATATCTGGAATCAAAATTCTGACGAGTCATGGTGAAATTACAACTAGTGAAAGTGGCGTTACATATGTCAGTCAAACTGGGCCACTGAAGCTTAAAACAGCCTGCCATAATCAGCCTTTAGAACATCTACCAGCGTGGCTTTTATTCAAGGCTTAAAAAGAACAATCAAGCCGACATGTTAAATGTGGAACATTTATGGTAGCGCCATAAAAATGGAAAGTTGGCAGAACAGTTCTGGGCCATTAGCCATTAATACTCAGTATTTATTGAAGTCTCAAGTGATAATTAGGCTCCTTTGGCCCATGATTAAACTGCTAGCATATTAAATCTGAACACGATACACATGATTGATTGTGATATACATTTTGTGCAGCACGGATGTAGAAGTACATTTGTCGTGGGCAGTACAATGAGAAAATACACACATCGTAAGGGAGACATATGGAGGAAAAAAATAGTGGAAGGAATGGGTGAGTCAGGAAATAATGACCACAGTAGGAGAGGAGGCAGAGGAGGAAGGAAGGAAGGAAGGTGGGAAGTACTTAAACAAACAGGCAGGTTCCTAAGAGTTTCTTGCGTGGAAGAGGTCCTGAATTCTTCCCAGGCTGTGGAATGTCAATTGACTGGATGTGAGAGTCATTGACTGGCTGCCTTCTTGCTCTCCGCCCAGACCCTTTAACACACTGCCGCCCTGATGGATTGTCTGTTGTGGTTTCCCCTCTCTTCTCCTTGGCTGCTTATTGTGCCTGGGCACCATAATTCATCTTAAGTATGTTAGATAGGAGACTTTACTGTTCTATGAAACTGCATATTGAAGCTTATTTGGGGGTTTTTCCAGGTGAAGGAAGAGCCAGGGTTAGACGTGGGGCTCAGGAAAGCTGATCGGTGCTCCACAGTGACTGCAGCAGGATACTCTCTACAAGGTCAGCAGCCTGCTTCATCTCACCTCTGTCTAGGAATCAGGAAGCAGAGGAAATCCATCATCTACTTGTCTCTCTGCTGCCAAACAATGCCTGTGCTGAAGGCAGTTTAGTCTGGGACAAGGACTGCAGTATTATCCTTACATAATGATGCTTTCTCTGTTTCCCCGAAGCTAATCGCAACACTAAAAAATTGAACAAGCTTTCATGAGTGGTTTCTGCCTCGGCTTGCCTTTAGCAGTTTGTGCATAATTTTCAGACAGCAGCCCTCTTATTGATAACTCAGCTGTGTCGCCGTGTTGTAGCTCGGATGTTGGAGAGTCAGTTACTAAGTGCTCTGATGGTTTTGCAGTGTGGCCCAGAGTGGGCTGCTATGATGGAAAGTGAAAGGCCAGAAACAAAATTAAAGAAACTGTCAGGAATAGTCCTTCCACTCCCACTGAGGGGAAAGGTGTGGAGAGAAGAGTTTAAGACTGATCTTCACAGCTTCATCATTCAGTTTGTAAAATGCCAGAGAACAGTGAAAAGTGTGTTAGTGATTCTAAATTGTTGACATCTGAATTAAAAAAAAAAAAAAATCTGCATATTTACTATAATGTTTCAAAAATTGCTAATTGATCTCCTTGATTAAAAGCTATACAGATCAACCCCTAGTTTGAATGTCACCTTGTTGTCGTCATCTCTTACTTCCTGACTTGTATAATTACTATCTAATAAGAGCAGGGACCAGATGTGGGAAGGATAATGACTGTACATGTGGAATTAGTTTTCCTTTTTCCCCCTGCAACAAGCCCACCAATCAAAGCTCGGTGAACTAAGACTTTCGTCATTAATTAACGTTTGATCAACTGTTGGAGGCAGCCCTACATTCATCCACATCTCCAAGCCTTGTTGGTAATGATTAGATATGTTCTAATTGTGGCCACAGTCACTTATTTGCATGTGGCAGGTTTGCTGCCATCTTTTTAGCAGGGCTAACGTGTACCAGGCAGCTTGACCTGGTAAAGGCGTTTTTGAGTGGACGTGACCAGCACTCACCGTGGTTAATAGCTCCAGGGCTGCCCGTAATGCTTTCCATCAGTATTGACCCTACAGTGGTTCTCTGAAACATTTCAGGCTGTTTGTTGTAAAATCGATGCGGCTTTAATACCTGGTGATTCACTGATGATGGCTGTGTTACGCAGCCTTTAATTTACTGAACCAGACTGGACTGGTTGTGATTTAGCTCATGTTTGTGTAGAGGAATTAGTTATAAGTCAGTGCAGCACCTTTAGTCCGTCCTCCGCAGTTGTCACAAGTCTGCAATCAATAGAGATATATTTATGTTCAGTGTGTTGAGCCAAGTGTTGGCAGACAAGCTTGTAGTTAAACAAATGGTCGGGTTGTTTGAGTTCTGTCCAATCTTCAAATGGCTTCCATCAAGTAGCTGTTTCTGCCGTTCGCCATCAGATGATTTGTTGTCTTTTAATGTTGTCTGGGCTTGTTAAGACTCATTCTGAAACAAGTCACAGACAAGTGAATGTATGAATCTTTCAGCGCTGTATCCAAAACCCATTTTCATCAGTCGTCACTTCTCCTTGAGTTGCTCTCATTTTCCTTCCAGAAACAGAGCGAGGAAAGACCCGTTGCTCGTCTCCACTCCACCGCTCCACTTTCTAGGATGATGCATAACTATTGATTTTATGTTCAGTCAGCCATCACATCCTGTTGACGGCGGGGATACAAAGTAGTCCAGGGCTGCAACTCATTCTTTCAGTGAATCAATTGATTGTTTATCCACTGCTATTAACTATTTCCCAGAGCCCAAGGAGGTTTCTTTTTATGCTTTATTCTTCCCTACCAACAATCCAAAACCCATTTACATTAATTCACAAATATTTATTCAGTTATCACAATTGTTGACAGTAGTCTATTATTTAAATAAGGTAAAATGTCCTGATTAGATTTTAGTCTTGTACATTATACCTACTGGACATTGTAGTAAACAAGCATCAGCCAGATAAAATGAGGAAACTTTATGTATGTGTATTAATAAGAAGCACAATAGCACAGTGCTAGTGCTGAAAATACCTGCAGAGCCTCAAATATTAACTAGAGTTTAGCCTCTTTTTTTTTTTTTTTTTCAAATCTACAGATTTATTCACAGTAGAAAATGGAAAAGAGTTCATAAGAGGCAAAGCTCATTCACATATCATATTTGGTGACATGCTAACCGACGCAAGGAGCTAACAGCTAGCACACTAGCTAACCAAGACCATGCGAGTCAGTTATAGCAACTCACTGTGCTTCTCTGTATTTCTGCACTTAAATAGTTATTCCCTCTTGGCATTTATGTTCGATAACTGTCAGTTAGCTATGAGGAAGAAAAAGGCCTTCAAGTATTTCCGTATGTATCGTGCATATCAAAAAATACATAAAAATGTAGAAATATATAATTAAATACATAAATGTGAAGTAAACACATTTTGGTCAAGTCTTTAACTTACTTTCACATTTCCCTACATCATCTTTTACTTTTGTATTTCTACATTCCTTTATTTATTTCCATGTTTACATGGACGAACCAGATGATACAAGCTAGCTGTGCTAACCGTGAGTTTGGAGCTCCTGCCTCGTGTAAATGTAGAAATTCAAATGTAGAAATTGTGTGTATTTAATCATTGACTTCTGCATTTATTTATGCACCTAAGTCATTTTTCACCCTCCGTAGTAAGCTAACAGCTAGTTAGCACAGCCGCTAACAAGACAATAAGCTCACAGTTTATTTAGAAGGTGTGTTTGCACTCTTGCTCATGTCTCATAACTGTCACACCACTCATCTTTTATGAATCATTTATGGATCTTGTGATGCAGAGGATTTAATACGAGTTGATGCACAAGTTAACACCCTTTGCTGGGCATAAGCATCTGTAGTGACTGCATTTTCTTCTAGTTATTTTTTGAAAGGCCCCTTTTTTGTTTGGTCGGTGGGTGGTAGATATATGTTTGTTTGTTGTCCGTTCAGTGAGTTGGGTGGGGGTCGGTTGGTTGCTGCCCTCCTCATCTTTTGTTGCTATTTTGTAGTGATGTTTTTTGTCCTCCGCTGTTGTCCTCCCTTTTTTCTTTTTTTTTTTTTTTTTCTCTCGTTTTCCCGTTTTTTCATTTTTTTTCCCCCTTTTTCTTTTAAAAATGATTAATTAGTGTTGTTTGTTGGTTATTCCACCTTTTTTCAGTCCTTCTTTTTTGTTGTGTTTGTTGTCGTGGGGCGGTTGTTCTCTGGTGGTTGGTTGCGCCCCAGTGGTTGGTGGCGGTGCTGTTGTTGGTTGGTCGCCGGCTGGTGGTCAACAATTAATATTTTATGTTGTTCTTCTCTTGTTGTTGTTTTTTTTTTTTTGAAACTTTTTTTTTTTTGGGCGTGGTGGTCATCGTTTTTTTTTTGTTGTTTTTTTGTTTTTTTTGTTGTTGTTGTGCTGGATGGTGGCGTGGTGCTATTATGTGGCGTATTGTTGATGTTGTTTTTTTTCGGAGGGGTGGTGGCGCCTAGTCGCCTATTCTTTGTTTGTTGTGGTGTCGTGTTCTCACTGTTTCCGCTGCCACTGCCGCTCTGTGACTGTGGGCCTTGGCGGGTGTTCGTGCTCCGTGTTCCTTTTCTCATGGTGTGGTGATATTTTGTTTTATGGCTTTATTTTGTGCAGTTTTGTACATGCAGTTGTCACGGTCCAGTTACTATACATGGTTATATGCTCTGAAATGCATGTTGCACAGGAAAATATATTGAATTCGAAAAAAAGTGGGTCGTGATTTAGTGACCACGGGAAAATGTGGGTCCCAGGGTGAGACCAGTTGAGAAGCCCTGGTCTTGGGTCTTCAAATTTTCAGGAGTTGTTCAGAAGTTTGTGGTGAATGGAGAGAATGCAGCAAATTCTGGCAACCAAGATGACATTTTTTCTCGCTATAACCTCTCAAATTCGTGTTCAAAAATTGCGTGTTTTTTGGATTTTGCACAAAAAATTTTTTCTCCGTTCGATCTGTTTTATTTGTTTTATTTTGTTGTTAGTATCTTATTTGCATTAGCAATGCTGAGAAATCTTTCATATGTTCGTAGAAATGGGAGTTATGGCCGATCAAAGTTGACATAGGTAAAAAGGTAATTCATTTCCAAATGGCCAGATGGACATTGTGAAATGAAATTTAGGATAGTAAAAGATGGAAGTATCATCTGCTTGTGTGGCAATCTACCAGACCTCCTGCGGAATGTGTCCTCTAACCGGTGAAGTCCTCCTGCCCTCTGAGCGAGAGACTCTCAGCTCCTGTACCAGAGAGAGGAGCAGCATGGTGACGTAACCATCAGCACTACCTCCAAAGTGTGGAGCTGAGTTGAGTAATCCCCAAATAACTGCAGTAGACGAGAGTCAACTGCATGATAGAGTGCTACAGACTCTACACAGTGTCATTTGTCTGCCATCGGAGTGTTTGCAGCGACGGTAACTCGTAGCTTTGTAGATGTGTAAAGTATACACATGTGTCACAAATTAAACAATCTGACATTTTATTTGAAATAGCAGGACTGTCTTCGTCCATCATTCGGTGATTCCACAGAGCTGTATCTCACAGACACACACACCGATGTGTTCACGTGTGCGTTAAATCTGTGGAAACACGTACGTAGATGTGGGTCTGGAGGGGTGGAGTCTACGATTGCGTGACAACTACAGATTGAATGAATGAAATGATGGAGGGATAGAGTGCAGAGAGGAAGAATGGGATGGTACAGAGTGAACCGGTCGCTGTAATCCCCCTTCACAACAGTAGCAGCTGGACCAGTGTGTCAGCAACCAGGCTTTACTGCTGCCAATCAGCTCCACTGGGAATTACAGAGCAGGCTGAAGAGATGGATGGATGGATGGATGGATGGATGGATGGATGGATGGATGGATGGATGGATGGATGGATGGATGGATGGATGGATGGATGGATAGGTAGGTTCACAGAGGTGTCTTCTAGACTGTTAAAGAGAGAGACTC